GATATATAACCACATTCATCTCTTTGAGACATATTACAGAGAACAAATCTCTTAGCACTGCCTCAGTTTTATAAATCGAGTGAGAAGACTCGCATCTCTTTAAACTGTTTGCAAATGACAGATTTTTTTTCCGAAAGAGTTGTTACTTTACGAAGTAAGCTGTAACTGGTATTAATAACTCAGGATTGACGTTAAGGTAAACTAAATGTGTATTTTACTGACTTGAACTGATGCTAACACTCTTTAAAAATTCAGTCTAAGAGATAATTTAATTTCTAGAAAATTTAGGAAACAATAGGTCACGTATTCTTTCAAATGGTGTGATGTAAAAATATATATATATATATATATATATATATATATATAAATCGCAAATAAAAAAACTTCATAATCCAATTGAAGAAACGTGCGCAATGCAGCAATAACAACTAGGCTATGTAATAAGATATATTATTTCAGTTTTTATAATGCATCTCTTTGCTTGAAAAATTTATACATGGTTCATTCTAGAAACTTAGTGGATCAAAAATTCAAAACATATTTGTTGAGGTTCAAGGTGTAAACACCCCTATCCAGGAAACACAATGATCAACACAAAAATGGACAATAGTAGAAATAATGAATAAAAAAAACTTTAACATAAACTATAATATTATTTTCTCTTGCTGGTCCGGCATGGCCAGATGATTTTGGCGCTTGACTCGCAATTTGAGGGTCGCGGGTTCGAATCCTCGTCCCACCAAACATGCTCATCCTTTCAGCCGTGAGAGCGTTATAATGTGACAGTCAATCCCACTATTCGTTGGTAAAAGAGTAGCCCAAGAGTTGGCGGTGGGTGTTTATGATTAGCTGCCTTCCCTCTAGTCTTTCACTGCTAAATTAGGGACAACTAGCGCAGATAACTCTCGTGTAGCTGTGCGCGAAATTCACAACAAACAAACAATTATTTTCTTAGTGCTGCCACCTGCTTCCTAGTGATAAGTGTCAATTCCTTTGTTATGCAGTAGCAGTTTCAGACTAGACACATAGACGCAACTCCCCTTTTATACGCTATATCTACAACTTTTCTAATTTCTACTCATTCCAAAACAAGAAATGTTACTCTATAACTTTCACAGATGTTCTGACTTCGCTGAAAATATTTTATGCTGGTAGTTATACAATTTCTCAGTTTGGTTATTTTATTTTACTTTTTTTAAAACTATTTGCTTCTACTATTGGGGCGAATATGGCTAAATTGTTAGCGTGTTGGACTAGTTTGAAACGTGATTCCACGAAATACGTTTTGTATTTCTATTTGTGGGTGCAATATAAGAATGACAGTCGATCTCACTATTCGGTTAAGAATCATACTGCGGGTTTTACTGAGAGCTCGCTTTCCCTTTGATCCTTAATTTGAAACTAGGGATGGTTATATCTTAGCCATAGGGATCACTGACTTGAGTCCATAAAGTATCTTTTAGGTGAAAATATAAACTCTGTCATCCTTCTTGACTCCGGTATCAATTGTTGGTTTTTGTTGCTTGAAGCTGTTTATATTTGGAACTTTAACAGTTGTTTGTTTGTTCTAACTGTTCCTGATATTGAATTGACAGACTAGAGGGGAAGCAGCTTGTCAACACTCACCGCGAACTTTTGGGCTACTCAAATTGAATAATAGTATCTGACAGTCATTCTTATAACATACCCATGGCTCCAAGGTGCTGAACGCAATTTCGCACCAATGGAACTTGAACCATAAACCCTCAGATTCAAAATGAGCATGCTAACCACCAAGACGCACCCAACCTCAACAAACAAGATTTACTTATTGTGGAATTAAACCTATGAAATTAATCCTGCTTTAAAAGTTTTGGCAAAGGGATCTATTTAGTATTTTTTTTATATATATACATAAATGTATGCAAAACAATACTTCCCAAATACGTACTATAATTCGCAGGTAATTTTGCAGATATATATATATATATATATATATAT